ACTGGGAGGTGGATGGGAAGGATGTGAGTGAGTATGGCCCAAGCCCAGGAGGACACAGAGCTAAATAACAGGCCACACTCAGGCCAAGCAGGGCCTCCTGGGCTGGGTGAGGATTTGGGATTTTATTCTGAAGTGTAGAGGAAAGGTATGGAGGAATTGTCTCTCCCAACTTTTCCCTGTCATTCATAATATATAAGAAAAAGATGGTTAGCCACCTCTATTTATTCAGATAATCAACAGTCTCTTCTTATTGAGCTTTATAAACCTTGTTTTAGTGTGTGAAACAATTCTGGAGCTTCTGGTTTTCAATCTCCAGATGAGGGAATTGGGGTTCAAAACAATGAAAAGAAGGCAGGAGGAGGATTTGGAGCCAGGTCTGCACAGCCCACAGCACCTAGTCCGTAGTTTCTGAGACAGGTGAGTGTTAATGGGTGTGGGCCTCCCAGGCACCCAGCGTCCTTCATCAGGAGCCTCGGTGGATGGACTAGGGTGGAGTCCAGTCCTTCCTGGCTCCTTGGAAACCGAAACAAAAGACCCCAAAGATTGGAGGGGCTTTGGGTATGTACAGGTTAGGGGGTCAGAATCTGCAGGCACAAAATGTCAGGGCCCCTTGGCTAAGGGAAGGGCTGTCAGATTTTCATGCTAGTCTGTTCTACTCTTCCTGGCTGTTGCCCAGAAGTCCCAAAGGTGGTGCCTTCCCTGCTCCGTTCGCCTTTGAAAATCTGAATTCATCATTTGCATGTACTTGGGAGGCAAGGGTTTGGAAAAAAGAAATTCTTTATTGGGAGCTTTCAGGTCACAGGAAAAGCGTCCACTGTGTGGGGCCCACATCCTCAGCACCGCGTGCTGGATGCTTTGGGCTTCTGTGCTGACCCCGTTTCTCCTTTTTTGCTGTGAAGTGGTCATGAGGTTGCAAAGCCACGTATGTTACAGGTCAGGTGTATCTTGGCTGGTTGGGCATGCCTACTCCTTAACATGAATAACTGTTCATTATTCAGATATCAACAGTTATTCAAGTATTCTCTCCCCTTGGTGAGGGGAGAGAGCAGTCCTGGCCTGGGGGTGGGGCAGTCTCTGGGGCAGGTAGTTAAGGGGTTATGGCTCTGTCATCTTCTCAACCTCTTATTGCCACTCAGGGTCACTGCACATAAATCCCTGGGTACTCTCCCACCTAGTGCTGTGACAGGTTTGTGCCCCAGATGCTTGCTGACTCTGGATACATGTTCAGTGGGGTTAGTACAAAAGCCCTCAGCTAAGCATTTTGGCCAGCGATCAGCAGAGTGTTTATTCGCTGCAGGCCCGGTTTCAATTCCCACATTGGTGGTGACTAATATATTTTGTTCTTGTGGAGTGCTTTTCATTTGATAAGCCCCAGACACTTTCTGTGTCAGTTCTAAATGCCATCTCCAGATGTCCTCCAGCTTCCAGATCAGCCACTTCTGTGGCACTTTCCTCTGCATAAACATTTCAGCCCTCTCACAGAGTTCCAGGAAACAGGTTTCTGCTTTGAGGCTCTGCTGTTTTCTGTTGACTTTGTTCATTAAGATATTTTTATTCACTGGCCCCTCAGAGATAAATATCAAGTGCAGTGTTTTTGGAACTTTGTTTTTCAAAGCCTGGATAAAACCAAGAAAATGTCAAGCAGTAGATGATTAAGTACCAAGTGGTCGCACAGGCAATGCTTTGGACATTGACAACTGGGCTCTGGTTAACCCTTTAAAGACAGCAGTGAAGATAAATGCCTTAGAGCAATAGAAAATATTGGTGATGGACAATTGAATTTATTCACCAATAAACTTGGTAAGTGACATCCCCTAAGTGAGGCTGTGAATTATGGAAATCCACGTATCAGTGAACATGATGAAGCACCTGCTCTACGCAGTGCACCAGGCAGATTTATTCATTCGGTGGTTTCTATCTGGCATCCTCTGTGTGCTGGAGATCCGGTGACTCACCAGAGGGACACCCTCCCTTATCATCAGTGCTGGCCTTGAAGATGACAGCTGGAAATGCTGGCCTAGGCTGCCCTCTCATGGCTCACAGCCAGTGTTTACTACGTGACTGGTGCTGTTCTAAACACTGTATGTGTATTAACTCTTTGCATGCTCACAGAGATCCCTACGTGAGGTAGGTACAGTTATTATCTTTACTTAAAGAGAAGAAAACAGAAGCACAGAAGGGAGCATTATTTGTCCAAGTCACATAGCTGGTGATTGGAACAAGATAGCCTGGCTTTAGAGTCTGTGCCCTTCACTGCCACTACCAACCAATGTGAAAGGAAAATAATCAGCTTAGGACAGAAAGTCCCACATCTTCACAGAGAGGTGAGGATAGAATACCATGGGCCTTCCCAGCAGAAAGAGATGGGCTTATGAGACGTCGCTCATCACCTGCGCAAGTCTGACATGCAGACCCTGACTCAATGATGGATGAATGAATGCACTCTCACACATTACAGTAATACAAGTGGGCTAGGGATGGCTGTTGGCTGCTTTCAGAGGGTGAAATGCAACCCATCGACCAAGACCCTCTGTCCATCCACACTTTTATTCATAGCAGATGTTCTAAGTTAACACACTTGTGGATAATTAACATGATTAAAAGAGTGGTTTTATGACTGGTAAAAGCTTTAGGTTCCGGGGCCCAGAGTAAATACTATTAACAGGTAATTCCCCTTTGATCCTCCCCAGAGAGGGCCACCCAGCACAAAATTAACATGAGGAAACAGAGTGGAGACAAATGGGTGTGGGGTCAGGCCTTTGATCTTCTCTATCTCTTTCCCATGCCTTCAACCTGCCTCAATAAAACCTTTTGGCCTTTCAAAGGGTTTGAGACTAATCTATAACTTTTCCTAAATATTTTCTGTAATATTTTGCCAGCCACCCCAAGCGAATTCTAACAGGCTTAGGGAAGGGACAGGGTAGGGTCCCTGTTCTGACAGGTGTCGTCTCTGCTGGGGGGATGGAGAAAATGCTTGGCTACTAAGGGGGCTACCCTGGCCAGAAGTAGACAAAAGAAGCAACTGTCTCGGAGCCAGGAGACTTGGAAGCTGGTTTTGATTGATCCAGACAAGTCCAGGGGCCGTGCCCAGGGCCTCAGTTTTCCCATCTCTAAAATGGGTGGCTCGGACAACATTCTGTTTGACTTCAAGAGCCCAGGATTTCAGCAGACGGGGTAGGAGCTGGCTCTCTGTGCACTCTAAAGAGGGTTTCCTGACCAGAAGATGTTTGGCTCTGAGAGATGTGGGGGCAGGCACTGGACTTCCCAGAAGGCCCTGGCAGCTGTGAAAGGACTTGTGCATTCCACTGTGGTCCCTCCCCAATGCTGACATTGGCTGTCTGCATTCCGTCCTTTGTAGGCAGGGTGGCGTGTCTGTGTGTCTGGGGCTCACACTATAAGGTACTTTGTATGAGAGAGAGAGGGAGGTAGACAGAAGAGGGAGTAGAGAGGGGAACAAAGTGGGGAGAGAGAAAGGAGGTACCAAGAAGGACTGACTTCCATGTGCTTTCAAATTCAGAGGGATTAAGTGCTTTCAGCTACTTAAAGTCAATGAGCGTTAATGGAGTTAAAAAGCTTCCAATAATAATTGTAGCTTCATCCATCTGCTAAATTTTCTCCAGAGTCAGCTGTCCATAGTGTTCTGGTATGGCAGAAGACACACATGACTTGGTTTCCATGTTAAGTTCCTTAAGAAATTGTAAACCAAGCAAGAAGAGCATACAACAAAAACACAGATTGTTGTGGATCATGCAGCAGGAAAAGTAGGACCCCGTTTGAGCAGACCAAGTGTGTGTGTTCTTCATGCAGCTCTGTTGAAGCTGTGTAAAAGGTGCTTGGTGCTGGCTCCTGCCAGATGCTGTTGGCATGGCTTCATCTGCCCAGCTTACTGTTGGGTAACTTGCAGAATGATGAAACCTGTTCTTCATGTTATCACTGCATTTCTGAACATCCACACAGTGCATGTCCACAAGTAGAGTATACTTATCTTCTTGTGAAACTGTGGAGCCTGTGGATTAAATTCACCAAAATGAATGATATTCAAGAGAAGTCATTTCCCAAAGGAGAATTCAGATGTGGTCCCCACATTCATGGATATATGTGTGCAAGTTTTTCTGGGGGTCAGGTCGGTGGAGCCCGCTCTAATTGACATTTGCAATCTGGGTTATATCACCTCTAAGGTAGGCAGGTACCTACAGGAAGTGGGCAGGGAATGATGGCTTTAACTTACTTCATTCAATAAATGAATATTTGTTATCTATTCCCGTTGTCCAGGATGGTGGTGGGCAGAATGTTTTAGAAGTCCATATTATGTATGGCAGGTTGCGGCTTTACCAGAGATGGCATTTGCTGATTAAACTTTGGTGATAGGATGTGTTTTTAACAGAAACAGAAAAAGAAACTGAACTAGTTTCCGTGGTAATAACCATTTGGGTTTGCAGCTGATGCTGGCCGGGAAAACATGAGGCCCCTTTGACATCATCCATTTGCTGCTGAGAAATCAAAATGAAAATATCACTCAGTGTCAGAATGTTCCAGAAGGCAGTTGAGCTGCTAATGTTTTGAAGCGTTCAGAGGTATGTGTTATATGAAAAGGAGAGGAAATACAAGACAAAGGAAATGAAACGTTTGGCAATCATTGATCATTTCTTCAGTATGGTATTTCTTGTGGCTCTGGGATTTTAAAAATCCACTTGAAAGCCAGTATTGTTGAGTTTGGCTCTGTACTGTTTTTGTGGGGACTGATTTTTCACTTTATATTCCTTATTTCTAACCAGGCTTAATGGTAATACCCTAAGTTGATGGCCTTCTACTAAATTTAAAGCAAAGTATAAGTGTTCCCATCCAAAATCCCATCAGATTTACTGTGATATTTTCCCAAAACAGGAAGAGCTTTTTAGTTACTTACAGGTGCACAGAAAGTGTTTAACATCTCATCTGCATTTGCTTGGTCTTAATGAACCATCATTTAGTTTAATGAAGACTGAGCATTTTCTCTCCAGGGCAAGTGGGCCATTTGAGTTGAAAGTTCCTCAGAAGAAGGCAGTCGCTGAGAGTGTGGTGCTGGCCTGACTCAAGAGATCCTGAGATGCCCTAGTGATGAAGAGGCTCTAAAACAATTTAATCATGTGAGTGTGTAGCCTTCTCATAAAACGTTATGAATAAAAGTACTGCCCTCCTCCTGGCATCCTCTCCCTTTCCAGAAGTAATTTTTATTCTTACACAGTGTATCTTCTCACAGGTAGTTTTCTTAGCATTTATGTTCACAGATGTATGCCTACAGAAAATGTGGAGTGTTTTGTGTATTTGCGGAACAGGGGAAATGGGCAAGCCACATAAATGTTATCATACCCTATTTTTCTTTCTGCAGCTTGCATTTTTCAAGTGATGAGATGTCTCAAGGATCTTTTTATGTCAGTACATGTAGCTCCGTCATGTTCTTTTTCATCACAGATCTGGTTGGCTTTTAACGGCACCCACCCAATGATTCTAACAGAAATGATGACTGTGGTTCTGTGGGACCAAGTAAGGGGTGGAGTAAGGTGGCAGGACCAGGGACCCAACGCAACTTGGGAGCAGGTGAATGCTATAACCTCAGGACAAACGAAGAAGGTGCTTGGCTTACCTGTCTATATCTCTCTCAGCCTAGTAAAGTAGTATTTCCCTATATAGATTACGGCTAAGTCTGAGGTAGACATGGAATGGTGTTATATTTTATCTTAAATCTTAATTGCATAAATATGGTATCTGAAAAAGGTTGTAGTGAGTTTTCTGTGCTAAGAGGGGTCCTTTAATATAGTAGGCTCATACAACCAAGGTTTTTTTGTTTTATGTGTTTTTTTAGAAACAGGGATCTCACTTGTCACCCAGGCTGGAGTGTAGTGGTGTGACCATAGCTCACTGCAGCCTCAAACTTTGAAGTCCTGGGCTCAAGTGATCCTCCTGCCTCAGCCTCCTGAGTAGCTAGGACTATAGGCATGTACCACCATCCCCGGCTATCAAACAATCAAGGTTTATTTCCTGTTCGTATTTTATGTCCGTTGCGAGTTGACAAGAGCTAATCATGGTGGTTATTTGTGGGCCTGAGCTGATGCAGCTGCCTCCATCTTGAGCCAATCGTAGTGCCAGAAGCAAAAAAAAAATTGCACATTGATAAATTATGCACCGATGCCTAAAAGCTTCCTACCCAAAGCAGCACATTCCACTTCTGCTCCTGTTTCATGAGTTAAAGCCTGTAACTTCAAGCAGGTAGGGAAGTGTAATCCTACCAAGTGTCTTGGAGAAGAACCTGAACTGTTTGATTGTTTGATGAACAGAATACTTCTACCATTGTGTTGGTTTTCAAGGAAGGAGGGGAAAAGTCTTTGAAAACTCCCCTATAACCCATAAAGTTATATCCTAGAAGCCAATCCTTTCTGTGTACATAAAATTACTGGCCTTTTCCTCTGGCCACCACAGTTGCAGAGAGCAGAGCTGTTTGGCAACACACTTTAAGAAGTAGTCAGAGCTTGAGAAGGGAGGGTCGGGACAGGAGCAGAGGCAGATGGCATGGCACTGGGCCAGGTTCCATATGACCTGGATGCCAGCAATGCTGGCCTTGGTTTTGCTTATGCTTGTATTTGTTTCCAACCTATATGTAGCAAGTGCCACAGCAGAAAAACTTACAGAATGGCCTGACTACTCAGAGCTCACTCTTGAAAAATGCTGGGTTGTAACTCTAAATTAGCATCTGCTACATTGTTAAAGAATGTTTTACAACAGGGCCCAGATGGGTTAGGAATCTTAGCTGCTACTGTTGCAACACCAATTTGTGGAAAGCAGTGTTATTCATTTTGAAATATAAACATGAAAAAAAAAGGGTGAATGATGATTCCCGACAATTGGGTGTCTAAAAAAAGAGTGGAATCATGAGGCCAGTGTGGATGGTGGGAAGTGGTGTTCTTGAGGTTTCTGTTCTAGATGTGGCGCCATCAGTTGGGATGGAGTCCAGCCTTGTCTGCTTATCCTGGGAAGAAGGAACTCATAGTCACACTGGAGCAGGGAAACCTCTGCTGGGCGATTCTGCCCAGTACGAAGCTCCTGCTAAATTGAGCATGTTTGCTAGTGTTCTTAGGCTGCAGTGTTTGGGCACACTGAGGCTCACTATCTTCTTAGGGATTTATCACAAAGATACACAAGTAAGTGAATTCATGCCTGGTGGCCTCAGCTGTGGGCAGTCAAACCCACATGTACTGTGGATTTTTGGGATGCAGCGTCTCTCTAAATGTCTAATATTCAGAAGCTCTAACTAGGTCTCCCCATCACCTGCCATTACAGAGGGGTTCAGTGGAGCAGACGCTTCTGTGTTCATGGTGGCTGGAGCTCAAGGAAGCCCTTGAGAGCCACAGCCTCTCCTGTCTTTCTGTGTTCATTTTTGAACACAGTGTTTCAGAAATGTTTCAGTGTTTCTCTGTTTGCTCCCACACACTCACCATACTTGTGATTCCTTGTTCTGTGTCTGTCTGCCCAGTTGTAAACTCTGTGAGGGCAGGGAGCTACTTGACCTCTCTGTGCCTCAGTTTTCTTATATGTAAATTGGTGGTAACAGTGACCCCTGCCACCTAGGGTTGTTGCAAGGATTGAGATAATAGAAACTATCAAATGATTTGCTCATGACTGAGTGCCTAGGCATGTTGTGCATATAACTCACTTAATCCTTACAGCAACATTTTGAGGTAGGAACTCTTACCCTGGGGCAAGCAAGGCATAGAAAGGATGGCTAACTTGCTAACAAGTGATGATTCTTATAATGGGTGATATTATAACAAAGTCCCATGAACAGACATAACCTGAGATGCCCCTGTTTTCCACAGCCTAAAATCACCAGCAAACATGGTCCATTTAGCAGGAACTTCCTTCTAACTTATTCATGAGTCACAATTTGAATTCTGCTGTCTCTAGAGATCCCAGACACCACGGATTTAACCCTTATGTTGTCCTGCCTCTCACCATGTGTTGAAAGCCTTACATCAATGCTGGTGCCTGAATAAAACACTTGGTGTTAGGTATTCTCAGACAAGGCCCTGCTGGGGCCCTCGCACCGTGCACGGCTGTCCATGAGGAAGTGCGCAGTGGATGTCTGTAGAAGGAATGAAGAAGGCTGCAACCTCATGGAGTTGTCCCACCACCCTCTGGCCCTGCTTACCCCCTCGTAGCTATCCCATGGGTCACGCTGAAGGTAGAGCACTGTCATGTGACTTGCAGCTGGCAGAGGCTGCTGGGCAAGGTGCCCAGGTTTGCTGCGGCAGTTCAGGCAGGCAGGGCCGGACCAAGGAAAGGGAGACCATTGGCCATTACCTTTGAGCCTCTCTTTGGCACTTGGGATTTCTCAGATGCAGAGCTTTAAGGTAACAGAGTGGCAGGTGAGTTCTTACCCTTCTTTATAAAAGAAAAACCAGGGAAAGAAAGCAAAGCATTCTTCTTTCTAGAAGCCAAGTCAGCTGGAAGCCAGCCTCTGCAGCTCAAGAGAGGGCCTTAGTTGCAAAGAAACACAAAATCACGGTAAGAGTACAACAGAAACATGGTGTGATGCCAAACATGCAGAAAGTCGGTATAAGCGCAAATGCGCGCAGAGAAAAGCTGAGAGGAAGCGCTCCAAAATGAGAATAGTGGTTTCTGCATGTGGGTCATAGGGAACTTAATTTATTGTTCTAAATTTCTTTCTTTCTTTCTTTCTTTCTTTTTTTTTTTTTTTGCATTTCCCAAGTTTTCTATAGTGAGCAGGTACCATCTTATACTTACAGAAAATTATTAAAACTTAGAATGGAACATGTGGAGAACAGCTTTATAAATTTTCTTTTTAACCTTAGCATCTCAGTTCTAAGAAATTCACATCCCCTCTCAGGGCCCCATGGGACAGGCAAGGAAAGAAAGAAGCCTGGGGTGAAAGTGACACTGAGTGTGTGTGTATCTGTGGTTTCTCTGGGGCCACCTCATGATTCAGGAGCAGAGTCCTCATTGCTCTCCAGGAGGTGAGATCCTTTCTAGGTGAGTCATTTCCTGTTGGGTCCTGGTGACCTCACGAGATGTTCATATAGTATGGTTCTATCAGGACCCATTTCTGTTTCCCAGCGTATTAACACTTACTGTTGTTCGTCATTTTATTTTTGTCTTGGGATCATTTTTCTTCTACCTGAAAAACTCTATTTAGTATTTATTTTAGTGCTGATTCTGTAGCAACAAAGTCTCAGTTTTTATCTGGAAAAACTTTATTTTGCCTCTAATTAAATCAATTTCATGGAAATGTAATTTCATACAATAGCATTGACGGATTTCAAGTATATGAATTGCTGACTTTTGAGAAGTCGTATGTATCTATATGTATGTATATTCATGCATACATATATATTCATGCATACATGAACCTGATCTGATACACACACACACACACACACACACACACACACACACACACATATGACCATGTAAGAGGGAGAGAGCACACACTGCAATCAAGACACAGAACATTTTTATCTTTCCAGAAATTCCCCTTACTCCTCTTTGCAGCTAATTTCTCCCTCACTCCCATCTGCACCTGCCTCAGGAAACCATTGATCTGACTTCTAGATCAGATTTTCAGAATCATCTATATGCAATCTTTTTTTTTTTTTTTTTTTTGAGATGGAGTCCCGCTGTGTCACCCAGGCTGGAGTGCAGTGGCACAATCTCAGCTCACTGCAACCTCTACCTCCTAGATTCAAGCGATTCTCCTGCCTCAGCCTCCCTAGTAGCTGGGATTACAGGCATGCACCACCATGCCCTGCTCATTTTTGTTATTTTTAGTAAAGACGGGGTTTCACCATGTTGGCCAGGCTGATCTTGAACTCCTGGCCTTAAGTGATCCACCTGCCTCGGTCTGGAGTGGTGAATTGCCCCTGGGATTCCCTTACCCTGGGAACTAACCCTCTCTGAGTGCAGAAAGCCAGAAAGAAAAAGGAGTTGGGAGGAGATGCCTGTGCGAGCCCCAGCTCCCTTCAGGGCTCGGTCACTGCCAACAGGCTCTACCCTCACCTTATGACTGCTGGGATTACAGGCATAAGCCACTGCACCCAGCCCTATGTACTCTTTTAAGCCTGGCTTCTCACTCAGCATACTACCTATGACACTCATTCATGATGCATTCTGATTTCATTTGCATGTATTGTTGAACTGTGTTCTACTGTATGACTGTGCCATGCTTTGTCAATCTGTTCACCTGTAGTTGTCCTCTGCGTGAGGCACAAGTTACTCTATTATAGCCAGGACTAAAAGTCCCTTGTTTTAAAAAAACAAAAAGCAAAAAAACTGTCAGAACTCCTGATTCTTTTCAAAAGGCGGGTTTCTAGAAGGGGAAGTTACTAAATAGAAAGTTTTCACAGGCTGTTGACACATACAATGTCAAAGGGCTTTCCAGAGACTTCCACAGGTTTACATTCCCGCCAGTGATATAGGAGAGTCCTGAGTCACCATACATCAACAGTCTTTTTCTATCTTACTCTCTGATACTTGCAAGGATGCAAAGCTGCAAAATTGTATGCAGCAGTGAAAGGAATTTTACACTGAGTATAAACCGGTAGGTCCAGTATGTACTTTCTTCCTGAGCTTGCAGAATTTTCAGTCACCTCCCTTCCTTCACCTCTGTCTCACTGAGTTGCAATGAACCTGATCTGAAAAGCCAGTTAAAATCATTGCTGGCAGCAGCATTTCAAATGGAAGGACAGGCAGGCAGGACCTCTGGCGTTTCACCACCCTAGCTTCTAGTGATTGCTCTGGAGTGGGTCCACTTCAGTGGCTCTTGAGCACTGGAAATATGGTTGATCCAAATTGAGATGTGTGGTTAATGTAAAACACATGCCGAGTTTTCAAGCCTTAGTATGAACCAAAAAAATGTAAACTATCTCATGAATAAATTTTGTATTGATAGGCTGGGCACGGTGGCTCACACCTGTAATCCCAGCACTTTGGGAGGCTGAGGTGAGAGGATCACTTGAGGCCAGGAGTTCAACAACCAGCCTGGGCAACATGATGAAATCCTGTCTCTACTAAAAATACAAAAATTAATCAGGCATGGTGGCGCACCTGTAATCCCAGCTACTCAGGAGGCTGAGGCAGGAGAATCACTTGAATCTGGGAGATGGAGGTTGCAGTGATCAGAGATCGTGCCACTGCACTCCAGCCTGGGTGACAGAATTAGACTTCATCTCAAATAATAATAAGTAAATAAATAAATACATTTGGTATGGATGACATACTGAAATATTTTGAGTGTATTAGAATTGAAATATATCACTGTAATTGATTTCACCTGTTCACTTTTTCTTTTATTAATGTGGCTACTAGAAAGTTTTAGATTACTGGGAGGCTTGTGTCATATTTCAATTCAATGGAGCTACTCTGTGGCGTTCTTTTTCCATTTGAAGACCTGCCCTTCCCCAATCCCTGCTTCCTTTTCTCCAGAGCAGCTTCCCTGCTTCTTCTCCTGGAGGCTCTGCAGACCTTTTATTTAGTTTGGAAGATCACACTGCAGGATGGGACTTGGGCTCAGGTTTCTGTGAGGAGCCTGTGCTTCTGGAGTGGTGAATTACCCCTGGGATTTCCTTACCCTGGGAACTCACCCTCTCTGAGGGCAGAAAGCCAGAAAGAAGAGGAGTTGGGAGGAGATGCCTGTGCGGGCCCCAGCTCCCTTCGGGGCTCTGTCACTGCCAACAGGCTCTACCCCCACCTGCCTTTGCCTCAGGAGATGGCTTTCGGTGGGGACTCACCTGCTTCTGATCTCCTCGCTTCATTTCTCCACTTGCTGATCCATCTTTTGTTCTGTGATGGGTCCTGTTTTCTGGCTGCATCCATTAGCTTGGTTTTTTCCTTTGGGTATTCCCTGGAGCTGCCTTACCAGGATCTCCAATTTCAGTCCCCATTGGTCTGGACCACTGGCCCAGGAAAGTCCCACCCTTTATCCAAGACAGCAGACCCAGCTCCCAGATACCTGGCGCTGGCCCCAGCCCAACCTCGGCCTTCTCTTTGCCTGGAAGGGAGGACCAGACTCTCTTCATCAACTGGACCTACCCTTTACACAGTGAAGAAAGGAAAGGATCACCTCCCAGGGCCAGCAGATCTCTGGCTCTCTGGCGTTTGTGGTAATGAGCGCCCATGAACTTTGAATTTATCTCGTCTCCCATGGTATGGTTTTGGTGTGCCCTCAGATTCTGTTTACAGGGCAGAGTTTAGTTTCTCTGCTTTCCCTTCCGACATCCATACCCTGTTACGTTCTTGCTGCATTGGGCTAACTCTGCACACCTGATTTAATCTCAAACTAGTGCTCTAGAAATGACAAAGCAGCCTCCTTGCCAGATTGCTGACATGTATTATATTGCTTTATTCAGGTGGTTGTAAATCAGAAGACTTTCCTTATGTTTCTGCTGTTGATGGCAAGAGGTGGAGATGTCTGTGGCGGTGATTACAGGAAAGGTCTGGGAAGACAAGTCGCTGTTTTTATGGGAATCGCAGGCTTGGAAGAGACAGAAGCAGTGAGTAAAATGGGCCCCTCGTGGCAGGCAGGCAAGATTGGGAGAGGAGGGATGGAGGAAGTTGTGCAGCACCCTTCCCAGCTTTCTAAAGAACGGAGCAAGGCATTGAAAAACGCTAAATCACAAATTGAGAAGCATTTCTTTCCAGTTTTCTCTCAGCCTAGTGATTATCTTAAAGAAAAGTCTCAGTTCTGTGCTACTGTGTCTTTAACATCTCTCAAAGGCTCCCAAGAGAAAGCAAGCCCAACCCTGGAGCCGTTCCAGGCAGCAGGACTAGCTGGAATATAACAACATGGTTGTATTTCTGGTGTGTTAATTTTTGTGTTACTTTCTATGTATTGCAAAGGATTTTTTTTTCTGTCTCTAATGGTGACATAACATTCCTTTAAAATTAATATATTAGAGTTTTCAAAACTCAATTGAAAGCCAAAAGTTAAGCAAATAAAGTACAGGTAAGACTCAACTATGGCAAGAACAACAAAAAAGTGGACTATGGTGGGGATGTTTAACGTGTAGAAAACAGGGTCCTAGAAGAAGCAGGCACAGAGAGTAGTCTGACGTCTGGGAGTACTCGATGTTACAGTTCTTCTCTTGCCAATTTTATTCATTTGCCTTGTGGCACAATAATTTTTTTAAGTCTTTCTTTTCTTAGATTTTGCAGATTCCAGAAAAATTAGAAATTGAAGATTTAAAGAATGTTGTTTTAAAATATTCGGACTAACTTCAAAGAATGACTCCAGAAACTTTAAAAGGTATTATTAACAGCTGATTTAAATTTAATATTGTCAACTGGTATGCTCTAAATGAACCGCTTTTCTAAAGCTAGGGATCCTAAAGTGGGTCATAGAATTGACTGCTACAGAAAATAGCTGGCTGCAGTGGCTCATGCCTATAATCCAAGCATTTTGGGAGGCTGAGGCGGGTAGATCACTTGAGGTCATGAGTTCGAGACCAGGCTGGCCAACATGGTGAAACCATCTCTACTAAAAATACAAAAATTATCTAGGCTAGTGGCACACGCCTGTCTAGCTATTCGGGTGGCTGAGGCAGATGTTGCCCTGAGCCAAGATTGTGTCACTGCACTCCAACCTGGGCCACAGAGTGGGACTGTCTCAGAACAAAAAAAAAGGAAAAAAGAAAAGGCTGGATTAGCATCTAATAACCTTTATTGGAACAGTAACTAACCAATCATTTTTATCCCTTTAAGTTTTTTTGGGTATCGCTTGCCCTTCTGTTGCTGATAATTTTAAATTGTACTCTTCCCTGCTCAACTATTTGGTTCTAATGAGAAAGTTATTGTGTGGGGTCTGGCTGAGAATCCCTATAAGGTTTGCAGTGTTTTGCAGTTTGATAGGTAAACAAAACATGGAAGTGTGTCAGAGAGCGGGAGACTCATGTGCCACTTGGTGGAAAAAAAATTGAGAACCACTGGACCTGAATGTTAACAGATGTGGCTTGTGAGACATATTAATGATGCTGATAGTCTTAAAAGATCTATGAACTTTTTTTTGAACTCTTAAAATTTTTTTTTTAGTGATTGCCATTCTAACTGGCATGAGATGGTATCTCAATGTGGTATTGATTTGCATTTCTCTAATGAGCAGTGACGATGAGCATTTTTTCATATGTTTATTGGCCTCGTGTATGTCTTCTTTTGAAAACTGTTCATGTCCTTTGCCCACTTTTGAATGGGGTTGTTTGTTTTTTTCTTGTAAATCTGCTTCAGTTCTTTGTAGATTCTGGATATCAGCCCTTTGTCAGATGGGTAGATTGCAGACATTTTTCCCATTCTGTTGGTTGCCAGTTCACTCTGATGATTGTTTCTTTTGCTTTGCAGAAACTCTGGAGTTTAATTAGGTCCCATTTGTCTATTTTGGCTTTTGTTGCCAATGCTTTTGGTGTTCTAGTCATGAAATCTTTGCCTATGCCTATGTCCTGACAATGGATGCTGGAGAGGATGTAGAGAAATAGGAACACTTTTACATTGTTGGTGGGAGTGTAAACTAGTTCAATCATTGTGAAAGACAGTGTGGCAATTCCTCAAGGACCTAGAAAGAGAAATTCCATTTGACTCAGCAATCCCATTACTGGGTATATATCCAAAGGACTATAAATCGTTCTACTATAAGGACACATGCACACGAATGTTCATTGCAGCACTGTTTACAATATCAAAGACCTGGAACCAACCCAAATGCCCATCGATGATAGACTGGAAAGGGAAAATGTGGCCCATCGACACCCTGGAATATTATGCAGTCATAAAAAACTATGAGTTCATGTCCTTTGTAGGGACATGGATGAACCTGGAAACCATTATTCTCAGCAAACTGACACAAGAACAGAAAATCAAACACTGCATGTTCTCACTCATAGGCGGGTGCTGAACAATGAGAATACATGGACACAGGGAGGGGAGCATCACACACTGAGGTCTGTTGTGGGGGACGAGGGGAGGGACAGCAGGGGCTAGGGAGGTTGGGGAGGAATAACATGGGGAGAAATGACAGATATAGGTGATGGGGGATGGAGGCAGCAAACCACACTGCCGTATATGTACGCATGCAACAATCCTGTATGATCTGCACATGTACCCATGTACCCTAAAGTACAATAATATATATAGAATTTTAAATATGTATAACATTTTAAATATATATATATATTTATAAAATTTTAACTGTTTCTGAAATGCGTGCGTTTTCCTGCCAAGACAAAGGATAAAGTGGCCAGTTCCAAGTCTTTCCACTTCCAAGATCATTTTACACATGCAAGGATGCCTGGACAAGAAGAGTCTGAAGGATCTTCTGTGGGATTGTTAAAAAAAATTTATTAAGATTTTTTGCTGTTAGTGTTACAAGAAAGGTAGTCAGTGCAATTTTGGGGTAACTCAGATGAGCCCAAGCATTTTTAAATGCCCAAATCAAATAGCTTGCACCAAATTTTCAAGGGTTTTCAGAGAGATGCCTCTCTTGGAAATCTAATCCTGGGAGCTCCATGCTGGCTCTCCCTCTTCGTCCTGCACCTCTGCCCTCCCTCTGCCCGCTTCATGCGACATGGGGCCATTGCTTCTCCCTCCTTCTCCAGGGTGCTTGTGTATAACAGACTTTGCTGAAGGTTGAGGACACAGGAGAGGAGGTTATAGCACAACCTCAAATGGGCAACAGTGACTGAGACATCACTGTCCCCAGGTCCCTTGGCTCTGGGTGCTACAGGAGACTTCATGCTGCCATCTCTCTCCTCAGCCTATTTTGTGCTCAGACCCTGTCTCTCACCAAACCCATAGGTCCTCCCTTCCCACTTCTAGGCCTGCTCCCTGCTTGGGGAATGCAGAAACCTCAGGCCCTGTTAACCTTATCATGTAAAATTATACACCTTTCCATCACTATCCCAGTCTAGTATCAAAGCACACTTGTGTTTTAACACAATAAAGAAGTTTTGATGAAAAAAAAATGGTTGGCCATCTCTGGTCACCCAGAGACAAGCACAAACAATTAAGTTATGATTTTTTTTCTTGAATGCATCTAAGATAAAAGTTTCTTTTTAGAGACAGGGCCTCATTCTGTCACCCAGGCTGGAGAGCAGTGGTGTGATCATAGCTCACTGCAGCCTTGAACTCTTGTACTCATGTGATCCTCCTGCCTCAGCCTCCCTAGTAGTTAGGACTACAGGTGTGTGCCACCATGCCTGGCTAATTTTTAAAAATATTTTGTAGAGATGGGGGTCTCACTATGTTGCACTGGCTGGTCTCAAACTACTGGCCTTGCCTCAAGCTATCTTCCCATGTCAGCCTCCCAAAGCGCTAGGATTATAGTCATGAGCCAACTCGCCTGGCCAGATAAACATCTTAAGCATGGCTCCTCCTCCTGTAAGTAGAGAAACCCCAGGACCAGTGGGAGGTGGGGTGAGATCTTTCTGTAGCTTTTGCTTTACTGATGATGTCATTGGTCTCTTCAGGGGCTGCGCAGAGTAGCGGGGGCCCTGGAGGGCTGCCCTGAATCCTGATTTCCCTTCTGCTGAAAGGACACATGCAGCCAAAGATGAATTTGGGAAAAGTAACTGCTTGCTACTTTAACTATGGAAAAGCAGGGCCCCAGTGAGATGGAAATAATCCCGTCAGAGTCACACCCCCACATTCAATTAGTGAAAAGCAACCGGGAGCTTCTGGTCACTCACATCCGAAACACCCAGTGTCTGGTGGACAACCTGCTGAAGAATGACTACTTCTCGGCCGAAGACGCAGAGATTGTGTGTGCCTGCCCAACCCCACCCGACAAGGTGCCCCGGGGACAGGGCCAGGCTAGGCAGTGTGTGGGCCCGGGAGCTGGAAGAGGCCTTGCCCTGTGGATCTTAGTGAAGAGTGGGAGTTTGGTCCAGCAGGCAGGGCTGCTTTTGGGGTGCTAACAGCACACAGACGCCTGGGTTAGCACGTTGCACAATCAGGTATTTCACGTCTGTGTTTGTGTCTGGAGCAAACCCTGACATCTCAGCTCCCATTGCTGTGCGTATTGGTTCCCAGACACTTCATTTTTAGATCCTCTTTCTGTTAGGAGAGAAAAAGTACGTAAGTATAAAAGCACCCCCAGCAGTGATGTTCACTCAGTGCCTCTGAAGGCTGGAGGGCTGCTCGTGGCTGGGTGACACTCGGGGGGAACTGCCTCAGGTTCAGGGATGATGGCATCCCACGGCGGGTCCACAGTGAAGACTCTTCCGTGCTCCACCGTGGGAAGCCTTACCAGCCCTTAGTTTCACTTCAGCTTTGCGTTATTTCCTGAAAAATAAATGGAGACCACAAATTCGTTCATGGTTAGAGGAATGACATGACCCGTTTGTGACATGACCCCACTGGGACTTGGAAGAGACCAGGACGATTTCTGGGGGAAGCAGCAGCACACTCGTGTGCTTTGCTCTCCTCTCTTGATTTGTTTTCCTACATTTTTAACAAGAAAAAAAAGCCATTTTTAATGTATGGCCTGACATCCTCCTGCTGTGTGGCCCTGGTGCCGACCTCATTACGCCCAATGGGTGGCTCTCCCCCTCCCCACTCCACTCTCATTCCTGCACAGCATTGTGTCAGGTTAAAAGGGAAAAGGAGAAGGCCGAGTAGCGTGGCTCACACTTGGAATCCCAGGTACTTTGGGAGGCTGAGGCAGGAGGATCACCTGCGGTCAGGAGTTTGAGACCAACCTGGCCAAGATGGTGAAACCCTGTCTCTACTAAAAAAACAAAAATTATCCAGGCATGGTGGTGTGTGCCTGTAATCCCAGCTACTTGGGAGGCTGAGGCAGGAGAATCCCTTGAAGCTGGGAGGTGAAGCTTGCAGTGAGCCAAGCCCATGGCATTATACTCCAGCCTGGGCAGAGCAAGACTCTGTCTCCAAGAAAAAAAGAGGGAAAAGGAGGCAGAGAGAGAATTCCATGGCTTGCTGGGGCTCTAGTTGTGAGTTTGTCCTTTTTGTTTTTAGGCTCATGGAAGCCTCCTGGTTTCTTAGAGCTGGGTGGTTTTATGTCTTGCTCAGGAGGTCATTTCACAGCTTTTGGGGCTCCAGTACATTGACTGGCACAGCAGCTGGGAGGATGGGGTAGCTACCGGCAATAGTAAGAACTTAGAGCCCTGCCCTGAGCCTGCCTGAGGGTCCTTACAGTAGGAGAATGCCCCTCATGCCAGCCCGTGCCCTCATGCTTGTGTCACCTCCAGGTCCGCAAAATTCTGGACCTGGTACAGAGCAAGGGCGAGGAGGTGTCCGAGTTCTTCCTCTACTTGCTCCAGCAACTCACAGACGCTTACGTGGACCTCAGGCCTTGGCTGCTGGAGATCGGCTTCTCCCCTTCCCTGCTCATTCAGAGCAAAGTCGTGGTCAACACTGACCCAGGTAGGAAGTAGCCCCAGCGAGACCACAGGCACCAGTGCAAGCAGAGCCCCGGGGTGTGGAAACGGCTGGGCCAGCCCTGAGTGCCACCTGAGGAAGCAGGCCCAGGTGCTATTTTCATTTTAGAAAGGAACAGCTGAACCCTGTGACCCACGTGCAGCCCAGGTGACCATGATTGAACTGCACACACTTTGATGGTCTGGTTTATAGAGGGGCCTGTGGACGCGTGGGAATGGCCTCTGTTCTGACCCCTTGGTTTCTTCCTATCCTGACATATGTAGACATTTTAATGGCTGCACAAATTCAAGGTTGTATTTTTTTTTTCTTTTAAAAAAATCTTTAGCTGGACATGGTAGCACACATCTGTAGTCCCAGCTACTGGGGAGGCTGAGGCAAGAGGACTGCTTGAGCCCAGGAGTCAGAGGCTGCAGCAGGCTATGATAGTGCCACTGCACTCCAGCCTGGGTGACAGAGTGAGACCCTGTTGCTAAAAAAAGGAAAGAAAAAATAAGAAAGGCTTGCCAGGTTTAATTCTAGGCAAAGTATTCTTCCGTCACCCTTGGGTGCCAGTCCTTATTTCCAAAGCACAGTGGGAGACCCCATTAGTTAATTGATTGGTTCAATGAGAATTTTTTGCTGAACCCACCACATCCCAAGACCCTACCCTGTGCTGGATGTCAGGGAGACAGTGGTGAGCAGGCACAGGTAGGGTTCCTGCTCTCAAGGAGCTTCGAGTCTGCTGGAAAAGCTCTCACAAATGTGTCCTTGCCAATGGCAGTCAGGACAGCAGCAGTCCAAGGCATGTGAGAGCATATCACTGGGGCCAGGATCTGCTTTGGGGCAGGAGTTTTCTTTCCCTGCTTTTAAGCTCTCCCCTTTGAGACAGCTGTTGGTAATATACCAGCACCAAGGATCCAAATCCTGCCTGTTAAAGAATCCAATATGCCCTTGAAAATGGAAGCCCAGGACAGGTGTGTGTTTTAGGGAGCAAGGCCAGCGGGCAGTGCCAAGGCTAGGCTCCACTCCCACGGCCCTGCAGGTGCCTGCCAGCCACTGCCAGCTTCTGGCTCTGCTCCTTCCTGCCTCCCAGTGTTTTCAACCCCATGAAAAAAGGGAAAATATTCCCATGAGAAATCATTCTTTTGCAAGACCTCTCTTTCGGTTCCGTTAGCCAGCTACTTGACTAGCTTTTAAAGTGTAATTTACTCTACAAGAAGCCTCACACAAAAGACTGTGTATTGTATGATTCTCTCTCTATGAAATGTCCAGAAGAGGTAAATCTATAGACAAAGCAAATCAGTGGTTGCCTACAACCTGAGAATTGGCTGCAAATAGGTTCCAGAAAACTCTAGGAAGATGGTGGAGATGTTCTAGAGCTGGACTGTGGTGAAGTTTGCACAACTTCTTAAATTTACTAAAAATTATTGATGAGTATTTAATACTCCCTGGCACTTTGGGAGGCCAAGGCAGCTGGATCGCTTGAGCCCCAGGGGTTTGAGATCAGCTTGGGCAACATGGCGAGACTCCGTCTCTACAAAAAATACAAAAATTAATTGGGTGGGGTGGCATATGCCTGTGGTCCCAGCTATTTGGGAAGCGGAAGCGGGAGGAATGCTTGAGCCTGGGAGTTGGAGACTGCAGTGATTGGGCCACTACACCCCAGCCAGAGGGACAGAGCAAGACCCTATCTCTAATGACAAAAATACGGTGTTGGTGGGGGCTGGCCTGGCCCTCAAGTGCGAGGGGCTTCAGCGTTTAGCTGCAGTTCAATGACAGTATCATGCAGAGGAATAAGGATGGTTTGTCTCAGACACTGGTCCCAGCTGAAGTCTGCCACCTTCTGTCTGGCTAAATCTGAGGCCTAGCAGAGGGATCAAAGCCCAGGGCCCTCAGGGTCAGGAAAGCTGGGTCTGTGACATGCCCCAGGGCCTGCACCTGAGGATCTGAGAAGTGGCTGTGCTGGCCTCAGGGTCCAGGTTGTGAATTGTTTGCACACTTGCCTCTCCTCTTTGAGACCTCCCTGTTTGATGCTGTTTCTGCCTCTCTCCTTCTCACCGTGCCGCTGTGCCCTGCCATCCCTCCCTCCAGTGAGCAGGTACACCCAGCAGCTGCGACACCACCTGGGCCGTGATTCCAAGTTCATGCTGTGCTATGCCCAGAAGGAGGAGCTGCTGCTGGAGGAGACCTACATGGACACCATCATGGAGCTGGTCGGCTTCAGCAATGAGAGCCTGGGCAGCCTGAGCAGCCTGGCCTGCCTCCTGGACCACACCACCGGTGTTCTCAATGAGCAGGGCGAGACCATCTTTGTCCTGGGCGATGCTGGGGTGGGCAAGTCCATGCTGCTGCAGCGGCTGCAGAGCCTCTGGGCCACGGGCCGGCTAAACGCAGGGGTCAAATTCTTCTTCCACTTTCGCTGCCGCATGTTCACCTGTTTCAGGGAAAGTGACAGGCTGTGTCTGCAGGACCTACTCTTCAAGCACTACTGCTACCCGGAGCAGGACCCCGAGGAGGTGTTCGCCTTCCTGCTGCGCTTCCCCCAGGTGGCCCTCTTCACCTTTGATGGCCTGGATGAGCTGCACTCGGACTTGGACCTGAGCCGTGTGCCTGACATCTCCTGTCCCTGGGAGCCTGCCCACCCTCTGGTCCTACTGGCCAACCTGCTCAGCGGGAAGCTGCTCAAGGGAGCTAGCAAGCTGCTAACAGCCCGCACAGGTGTCGAGGTCCCGCGCCAATTACTGCGGAAGAAGGTGCTTCTCCGGGGCTTCTCCCCCAGCCACCTGCGCGCCTACGCCAAGAGGATGTTCCCGGAGCGGGCTGTGCGAGACCGCCTGCTGAGCCAGCTGGAGGCCAACCCCAACCTCTGCAGCCTGTGCACCGTGCCCCTCTTCTGCTGGATCATCTTCCGGTGCTTCCAGCACTTCCACGCCGCCTTCGAAGGCTCACCGCAGCTGCCCAACTGCACGATGACCCTGACTGACGTCTTCCTGCTGGTCACCGAAGTCCACTTAAACAGGATGCAGCCCAGCAGCTTGGTGCAGCGGAACACACGCAGCCCGGTGGAGACCTTCTGCGCCAGCCGGGACACACTGTGCTCACTGGGGCAGGTGGCCCACTGGGGCATGGACAGGAGCCTCTTTGTCTTCACCCAGGAGGAGGTGCAGGCCTCCGGGCTGCAGGAGGGAGACAGGCAGCTGGGCTTCCTGCGGGCCTTGCCGGAGCTCGGCCCCGGTGGGGAACAGCAGTCCTACGAGTTTTTGCACCTCACCCTCCAGGCCTTCTTTACGGCCTTCTTCCTTGTGCTGGATGACAGGGTGGGCACTCGGGAGCTGCTCAGGTTCTTCCAGGAGTGGATGCCCTCTCGGGGGGCAGTGGCTGCGTCCTGCTATCCTCCCTTCCTCCGGTTCCAGTGCCTGCAGGGCAGCCGCCTGGTGAGGGAAGACCTCTTTAAGAACAAAGATCACTTCCAGTTCACCAACCTCTTCCTGTGCGGGCTGTTGTCCAAAGCCAAACAGAAACTCCTGCGGTACCTGGTGCCCGCGGCAGCCCTGAGGAGGAAGCGCAAGGCCCTGTGGGCACACCTGTTCTCCAGCTTGCGGGGCTACCTCAAGAACCTGCCCCGAGTTCAGGTCGAAAGCTTCAACCAGGTGCAGGCCATGCCCACATTCATCTGGATGCTGCGCTGCATCTACGAGACGCAGAGCCAGAAGGTGGGGCAGCTGGCAGCCAGGGGCATCTGCGCCAACTACCTCAAGCTGACCTACTGCAACGCCTGCTCGGCTGACTGCAGCGCCCTCTCCTTCGTCCTGAACCACTTCCCCAAGCGCCTGGCCTTAGACCTGGACAACAACAATCTCAACGACTACGGCGTGCAGGAGCTGCGGCCCTGCTTCAGCCGCCTCACCGTTATCAGGTGAGGCTGCCAGGCAAGGGGAGCAGGTGGGCTGGCAGGCCAGGCTGGGGGGCACCAGGATTGGCATCATGGACCAGGATCCCCTGGGACTCATGACCATTGGCCTTGGAATATCAAGACCTTTTCTCTCTCACGGGGCCAGAGGGCAAGGTGCAAAGCTTTGAGGCAGGTGGACCTGGGTCAGCCACAGCTGGGTGCCCTTGAACACCTCTCACAGCCTCTGTGCTCTCACCTGGAAAAAGAAGATGCTCAGAATCCTATCAGTTATGGGCAGAAAGACCAATGTTGATTGAGAATGGGTGAAGTGCATTACAAACATTACCTAATGGAATGCTCTTTACAACCCTGTAACTTAGGTACTGTTACTGTCTTTATTTTGGCAGATGAGGAAGTGAAGGCACAGAGAAGTTAATAGCTTGCTCTAGATCCCACAGCTAGGACATGGTAGTGCAGACTGCATAAGGAGCCTTCCTTTTAAGATGAATGCAAGGCTCAGACATAGTCCTCAAAAAGTTTCAGGAATGTGGAAGCTTTTGTTACTGCAGAGAAAGCAGACCTTGTGCTAATTGGCATTGGTGATTTTCTGTGATCAAAGCCAGCAGCCCTTCGCACTGCTAGGAATCTCAGTTAAAATGCTGACTCGTGGTTGTTTTCCTGTTCCATAGTTTAGGGGAAACAGACACCAGTCTGTTTTCTTCTATCAGCATTTCCTACAAAAAATAAATCTTGTAAATCTCCACAGGGGGTTAAATTCACCATTACTTGGCTCATGCATTTCTGAAGACCAGTAGGGATTTGGAACTGATTCCCAGTGCCTGTCACACCAGTGTCAGAGTGTAAATTGCATGGTGACATGGGATGCAGGGGGCTGAAGCCTACCCTAGCCTGGGAATTGGAACACCCAGAGTCTGTTCTCTGAATTCTCAGCGAGTGACTCTCCCTCTGTAGCCCTAGGCAGTCTCACACTTGTGTAGCCCTCTGTCCATCTTTTTTTTTTCCCAGACAGGGTCTCACTTGTTGTCCAGGCTGGAGTGTAGTGGTGTGATCTCATCTCACTGCAACCTCCACCTCCCCGGTTCAAACAATTCTCTTGCCTCAGCCTCCCAAGTAGCTGGGATTATAGGCACACACCACCACATCTGGCTAATTTTTTTGTATTTTTAATAGAGACGGAGTTTCACCATGTTGGCCAGGTTGATCTCGAATTCCTGACCTCAGGTGATCCTCCCACCTCAGTCCCCAAAGTGTTGGGATTACAGGCCTGAGCCACCACACCCAACCCCTCTGTCCATCTTTTAAAAGGGAAACCCCACACCAGTGTGGTGGCCCTGCCCTTCCTGCTGTCCCCAGGTGACACTTTCCTTCACATCTGTGCAAGAAAAAGCAGCTTATAGGAAAGCAGGAGGACATGGGCAGCCACAGGAAGCATGCTGAGCTCTCTGGCTGCATCAGTTAGGATTAGTATTAGCTGAGAGAAAACTCCAAATCTTGATGACTTACAAGCTTATTTCTGTCATGTAAAAGTCTGGAGGTAGATAGTTCAGGACTGGTATGGAGTCTCCATGACCGTCAGGAGCCCAGGCTGTCTTCTGCCTTGCTGCTCTGTCATCCTCACTACCTGGCTTTCACATCTTGGCCCAAGAGGGCTGCTCAGGCTCCAGCCATCTAGTCAACACTCTAGCTATCAGTAAAAAGGAAGGGCAAAGAAGGGCATGCCTCAATCTTTTAAGAAGACTTCTTGGCTTTATTATACTGCTGCTTAGATTTCAGAACTTAATATTATGGGTAGAGCTTAATCAGATGGGCCCAGATAAAAGATGGGGGAATTTATTGCTGAGAAAATATAGCTATTGGGAATGTCTAATAGCCTGTGCCATCTTGGGCTGGCCATGCCCCATACATACACACTATTTCCCAGAACCAAGCTAGGGACTCTGAGGGGAAGGGTCCAGAGTGTCTGACTTGATCATTTTGATGTGGCCTAAAAATCAAGCCTTTACCTGTTCAGCCTTTTACTTTTTATCAAGGTCAGCTTGTGGGCCTAACTGGGCCCATGGCTTGTGTTTGTGAGTAAAGTTTTATTGGAACACAGCTATATGCATTTATTTACTTACTGGCTGTTTCACACTACACAGTTGAGTAGTTTGACAGAGACCACCCAGCCCACAGAACATGAAATATTTCCTGTCTGACAGTTTACAGAAAGACATGATCAGTCTCCTTTCACAGCGGGACCCAGCCAGGCGCGGTCACTCATGCCTGCAATCCCAGTACTTTGGGAGGCTGAGGTGGGCGGATCACAAAGTCAGATGTTTGAGACCAGCCTGGCCAATATGGTGAAACCCTGTGTCTACTAAAAATACAAAAAAATTAGCTGGGCATGGTGGCACGCACCTGTAATCCCAGCTACTCAGGAGGCTGAGACAGAAGAATCGCTTGAATCCGGGAGGCAGAGGTTGCAGTGAGTAGAGATGGCGCCAGTGTACTCCAGCCTGGGCAACAGAGGGAGACTCCATCTCAAAAAGCAAAAATAAAAAAGAGAGAGACAGTGGGACCCACAGCCTTTTCCAGTGACAAGTCAGTGTTAGCCCTTGTGTTTCTGGATGGGGGAAGGCTGTTGGCATTTTGGGTACAACAGTTCTTGTGAGACCTGCCCAGCACTTTGCAGGACACCTGACATCACTGGGGTACTTCCCTCTTCCAGTAAAATAACCACTGAAAGCAGCCCCTCATGTTTCTAAGCCCATGCCTTCCACTGTGCCGTGAGAACCAGGTACAGGGTCTGGCTGACACATAGGCCCCCTGAAAAGGGGGTGATGTCAGAGGTGGCTGGCCTCACATGTCCTCCCTGTGGCCCTCATGGTCATGTGAGGAGCAGGGGACTGTGCTGCAGCCTCCATCATGTGCTGGTGTGGGGTGGGTCTGGCGACCCCACATTGGCCAGGCTTTGAAAGGGGTTATTTGGTTTTCAGAGAATTACTGCAGCCATTCTCCAGGGGCGTCTATACCTGGGAAAACTCCAGGGCCTGAAGGCTTCTGGATCTTTGTAAGATTAATGATCCTTCATCATGAGTGCCTGCCCTGACTCGTAATTTTTTTTGCTGTTTTGTTTCAGACTCAGCGTAAACCAGATCACTGATGGTGGGGTAAAGGTTCTAAGCGAAGAGCTGACCAAATACAAAATTGTGACATTTTTGGGGTATGTCTTTCTCCAGAACACTGGGCCAACTACCTAGTAATAAACTGAGCTGCAGGGCTGGGAAGAGCACTGGACCGGGAGTTGAGTCCTGGATTCTCTGCGTGGCTTGGCCACTCATGAAGTCTTGCTGAGCCTCAGCCTCCTCACCTGTAAAATGGGGATCCCAGTTTAGACAAGTTGCTTTACAACTGGTTATTGGGGAAGGCAAAGAGAGAATATAAGGGAATATGTTTAATAAATGTTAGAATCCTGTTTACATAGTAGTCTTGACTATTATGGGTCCGGAATCCCTCATCCAGAGCCCTCGAGGCAAGACCCAAATGGAATCTGAGTGCATGCTATGGCGTGACGTGGCTCAGGTGTCTAAGGCTGTGCGCCGCTTTCAAACACTTTCATATTTCTCCCGCAGAATGTATGAACAGTCAAACCAAGTGTGGTAAGAAAGACCATAAATAGCTCCACATCAGTTGCCAAAAGAATTGTGAAAAATGTGGGGCGTTCAGAGCCTTTGAGGTTTTGGAGTCTGCGAGAAGGGACGGCGGGCCAGCCCCACACCACTGGTGGCTCTGTGAGCTGGAGCGCTTATTCAGTTTCTTGGGGCCTCAGCGGCCTGCAATGTTAATGAGGACAGGGACACAAACCACCCTGGGCCACACTCAGCTCCAGAGCTCTGCAGCTGTGCAACCCTCAAAGCCTGAGCTTAGCTGCCTTTCAACATCCTTCTGCTGTATTATTGAATTGGCATTGAGCAGTGGGATAGCTGAAAGGTAGACATTGAGAAGTTTCAATATGCAGAGAGAATCTTTTCCCCTCAAGATGCTGAACGTAATCTTCCTTGTAAATACCCATCGCCTGCCAGTCACCAAGCCCCCTCGCACCAGGGCTTTGCATTATGTCCTAAGATCCTCATCACCACCCTGCAAGGGGGCTTTAATCATTACCCCATATTACAGATGGAGAAACTGAGGCACAGAGCCCTTAGATGACTTGTCCCAGGCCATAAAGCTGGGGGAAAGTGGTGGAGCTGGTTTTGAGCCTGGGTGTGAGACCCCAGAGCCCTGAACTCCCATGTCTATGTTTTCCCCTTTCAAACTAGACCTTGGAAATCAGTAGATAGCACATACTTCAAAAAATTGGGTTATTACAATGACATTGGGAGCCATGAAGTCTCACGGCTGTGCTTTCTCTTGAAGTTTATACAACAACCAGATCACCGATGTCGGAGCCAGGTACATCACCAAGATCCTGGATGAATGCAAAAGCCTCACTCACCTTAAGTAAGTGGGGTAGGCACCAGGTTCCTTGGTAGCTTCTCTTGGTCACCCGCTTCTGTTGTTCAGAGATTAAATGTCATGGTAAAGAGCTTTCATCCTAAGGCCTTCACTTGTCCCTAGCCAACGTTGGTCAAATAAGGACACCTCTGTGTGATCCGTGAGGCCTGAATTCTGGAAGGGCCACCTGTCTTGGTAGGGGCAAGGTTGGCATTTTGATTTTGTTGACTACTAACCCGAAGAAAGGACTCTCACCCTTTCTGGTGGTCTTTTTGCCCCAAGGGAGTTTCTTGTCTAGTTGGAAGCAAGAACTTGGGCCTTTGCCCTCTTGTAGATGTTCCCTGCCCAGGGGGTAACAGTGTGCCAGGCTTGGAGCCTCTGGTCCTGCTCTGACTGTAGCGACAAACCTTGACCCTTGGCAGTCAAAGTGGGGCCTCCCAGGTCTGCCAAGGGAAGTCAGTGATGCTGCTTTGGCCACTTAGAGGACCCCAGGGAGGGCACAGGTCCCTGAGCTTCTGCAGAGACTATGGGCCATCTCCTGGAGAGGAACCCTGACTGACTGTCCTCAGGGCTTCAGGTCCCTCCCTGAGAGGGGGCCCAGGGCATGGCTCTTGTGGGTCCCAGAAGAAAGTCCACAGTTCCCAAGATGGGGCTGGAAGGGGCTGTGTGCTGGGGAGGAGGATGGCCCACTTTGGAGCCCCTGCATAGCTGGAGGCTGATTTGCATGACTTTCTCTGCAGACTGGGAAAAAACAAAATCACAAGTGAAGGAGGGAAGTGTCTCGCCCTGGCTGTGAAGAACAGCAAATCAATCTCTGATCTTGGGTGAGTAGAAGGGGACGAGTGTGTATGTATAACCTGCTGTGTGTGCGTAGGCACCTGCTGTTCTTTTCATACATCAGTACACCAGGAGGACCACTGGGGCTCGCTGTCGGGGAGACACAGTGGAGAGCTTTCATCACACTGCAAAACTGAAACTGCGCTCATTAGGCAGTAACTCCCTGGCCCTGCCCACTCCCCTGCCCCTTGCAGCCACCCTTCTACTTCCTTTCTCTATGGTTTTGACTACTTTCCCTCATATAAGTGGAATCATGCAGTATTTGCTTTTTGGGGATGGCTGATTTCACTAGCATCATGTCCTCAAGGTTCATCCATGTTGAAGCATGTGACAGGATTTCCTCCTCCTTTTTTTTTTTTTTTTTTTTTTAACAGAGTCTTGCTCTGTTGCCCATGCTGGAGTGCAGTGGCTCAATCTCGGTTCACTGCAACCTCCATTTCCCTGGTTCAAGTAATTCTCCTGCCTCAGCCTCACAAGTAGCTGGGACTACAAGCACCCGCCACCATGCCTGGCTAATTTTTGTATTTTTAGTAGAGGTGGGGTTTCACCATGTTGACCAGGCTGGTCTTGAACTCCTGACCTTAAATGATTCACCCACCTCAGCCTTCCAAAGTGATTACAGGCATGAGCCACCACACCCGGTCAGGATTTCCTTCTTTTTTAAGGCTGAGTAATACTCCATTGCGTGGCCGTGTCACATTTTGTTTACTCCTTCATCTAAGAACAGTCACTGGGTTGCTTCTATGCTTTGGCTATTGGTATAAAGCTGCTGGGCACTTGGGCATGCAAATCACTCTTCAAGGGTCTGCCTTCAATTATTTTGGGTGTATACCCAGCAGTGGGATTGCTGGATCACATGGTAAGTTTTAATTTTGGAAGGATCGTTATACTGTTTTCCACAGTAGTGGCACCATTTTATGTTCCCACCCACAGTGCATGAGGGTTCCACTTTCCCCACGTCCTTGCCAACACTTGCTATTTTCTCTTTTTGACAGTAGCCATCCTAATGAATGAGAGATTGTATCTCATTGTGGTTTTGATTCTTGAGGCTTTTTAAAGCTTTTCATATCATTATAATTTTTATTGGATTATAAAAGGAACACAAGTAATTTTAGTTGGAAACTTTGAAAAAGAAAAATTACATTCTCAGAAAATAATTCTTGTTAACATTTGAGCTCAGTTAAGCCCTCTCACTTTCTCTTTCTTCCTCTCTCTTTGTACTATTTTTTAAAAATATAGTAGGAGTCAGATTTTATGTACAGAGTTTTATCCTTCTGTTTTCATTTAATCTCATGCCTTGAGTAGTTTTCCACTAAATTAAAAATGTGATGCCATTCAGTTGTATAGTAGATAGATACATATATTTAAGCAAAACACTGAAAACTCTTATTTTGGGTTCCAGCAAGCCACACTTGGAAGGATGTAGGCAGGTAGCTTGCTTGGTACAAATGTGTTCTTGAGGTAGCCAGTGCTGCGCTGAGAGTGGGCCACACGATCAGGATCAGTGCACACTGTCTATACACAGTGAGCTTGCTTTGCTGTGTAGAGACAGTGTGCACTGATCCTGTTAGGAACAGCCAGCACATTTGTGTCGGTCACACGCTGTTCTAAGTGCTTTGTGTCTGTTATAACTCAGTGAATCCTCACAACAACTGCACGAGGGAATGCTCTAAGTATCCCACTTTATAGATGAGGGAACTGAGGTCCAAGAGAATACACAGTTGCCCCAAGTTCGCACAGGTAGCAGATGGCAGAGCCAGGACTGGAGTCCACCATCTTACCATGCAGACTGTTTCGGCCAGAGCCTCTCTGGATCTGCCGTGGGGGAGAGAATACAGCTCTAACACCACAGCTCTCCACCGAGATGGCCGTAGCTGCGGAGCTTGTTTGGGTGACATCCTCTCTATTTGACAGGAACACCGCTGATCGGGTTTCTGAAGGCACTTTCTGCTCTTTGTCTCCTGGAAGACAGTGTCTTCAGGAATGTCTCTGACCCTGCCCAGAGTTGAATAGATGCTGGGAACCCAGCACCTGCACACGGCCTTCCCTTCAGGTCTCTGCAGACCTCTGTGCTCCATGGGAGACATGCAGGTGCTTCCTCTCATGACCACAGGTTCCCAGGCTGAAAGCTCTCCAAAGCTCACAGTGAGGCGGTCTCTACCTGTGCCACTTGCTGATGGCCTTTGTTCACAAGGCTTCTCCTGCATTTCAATCTCACATCACCCCTTGAATCTGAAGTGCAGAGTGGCCCACTCAGAGGCCAGTGTGAGGAATTAGTGTCCAGGCTCACAGCTCCAGGGACTGAGCGCAAACATCTGCCTGTTGAGTATGAATCAAGCTGTGGCCATTGGCAAAAAAGAAGAGGTGGACATGGCTGTGTTTAGGGGAGCTAACATTCACTGTCTTGTCTCCTCCCTCAGGATGTGGGGCAATCAAGTTGGGGATGAAGGGGCAAAAGCCTTCGCAGAGGCTCTGCGGAACCACCCCAGCTTGACCACCTTGAGGTAACTGCGGCCCTGCTGTCTCCAGGGGCCAATCTGGTCCCTCCCGGGTACTCTAGGTTTGCTGGGGAAGGGTGATTGGAGCTCCTAATAGGAGGGGATTTGCATGTGTGATTTTCCTTACTCTTGTCAAACCTTTTATTGATGCATAAGAGGCCATCTAGTCAAGCATATTCTTTTTTTTTTTTAAGTTCTGGGATACATGTAGAGGATATGCAGGTTTGTTACACAGGCAAACATGTGCCATGGTGGTTTGCTTCACCTATCAACCTGTCATCTAGGTTTTAAGCCCCGCATGCATTAGGAATTTGTCGTAATAATATTTTGTCCCCCTCCCCTTGCTCTCCACCCCTTGACATGCTCCAGTGTGTGATGTTCCCCTCCCTGTGTCCATGTGTTCTCATTGTTCACCTCCCACTTATGAGAACATGTGGTATTTGGTTTTTTGTTCCTGTGTTTCCTGAGAATGAGGGTTTCCAGCTTCATCCATGTCCCTGCAAAGGACATGATCTCATTCATTTTTATGGCTGCATAGTATTCCATAGTGCATATGTGCCACATTTTCTTTATCTAGTGTGTCATTGATGGGCATTTGGGTTGGTTCCAGGTCTTTGCTATTGTAAATAGCACTGCAGTAAACAGACATGTGCATGTGTCTTTATAGTAGAATGATTTGTTTTTATTTTTTATTTTTTTGAGATGGATTTTTGCTCTTTTTGCCCAGGCTGGAGTCCAATGGCGTGATATCAGCTCACCACAACCTCCACCTCCCGGGTTCAAGCGATTCTCCTGCCTCAGCCTCCTGAGTAGCTGGGATTACAGGCATGCAGTACCACTCCTGGCTAATTTTGTATTTTTATTAGAGATGGGGTTTCTCCATGTTGGTCTGGGTGGTCTTGAACTTCCGACCTCAGGTGATCCACCCAGCTCAGCCTCCCAATGTGCTGGGATTACAAATGTGAGCCAGCCAGTAGAATGATTTATAATCCTTTGGATATATACCCAGTCATGGGATTGCTGGGTCCAATGTTATTTCTGGTTCTAGATCCTTGAGGAATCACCTTAAGTGTTCAGCTCAGTGAATTCTGCATGGGTCCCACACCAGCCAGCCACCACCCTCCTCAAGACAGAGGACATTTCCAGCCCCTCAGCCATCCCTGCATGCCCCTTGGGGTAGGGGGAGGGTTTCCTATGTGCAGATAAAATTTAGTAAGATGCTGGCCAGCAGGTTCCTTCCCCTTCCTTGTCTTCAGGACGATGTTAGAAAAGAGGGACTCTTCCTCTCTATAAACAGGGATGCTCCTACCCAGTCCCCGCTTAGGCCGCTGGCCAAATCTTGGGGCCTTGGTGTGTTCTGATGCTGTCCTTTCTGCCACTGAAAAAGAGTCCCAGAAGGTGGGGGCAGTAGCAGAAGAGACTTCGTCAGTTCTTGCAGATGGGGTACTTGATGGGGGCCAGCCTTTGGACGCACAGCTCACCAGGCCACCCCAGCTTCCAGCCCATGTACGGAAACCTGAGACACCTACCTCAGCCCACTGCTGTGTGAGCAGGCCGTGCTGATGGCCCATTTCCCATTTGGCCTGCCCTTGTGCTCTCTGTGGGCTCTGGGGAAGCAACACCTGAGTACCGCTATAGCTGAGCAGTTCTACAACCTGACTCAAGTGAGCCTGGGCGGGGCCATGGCCAGGCGGAGGCTTCCCAGCTGTTCTGAGGTTGAAGCCAAGATTAAATGTAGATGTGTCTGTAATAATTCACCCCAACTCTGTTGCTTCCTAGTCTTGCGTCTAATGGGGTCTCCACAGAAGGAGGAAAGAGCCTTGCAAGGGCCCTGCAGCAGAATACGTCTCTAGAAATACTGTGGTAAGAGCACAAGTCATTTCATTTGCTTATTTTTCTGAGACGGTCTCACTTTGTTGCCCAGGCTTGAGTGCAGTGGCGTGATCTCAGCTCACTGCAGCCTTGACCTCCCGGACTCATAAGGTCCTGCCACCTCAGCCTCCTGAGTAGCTGAGACTATAGGTACCCACCACCACGCCCAGTTAATTTTAAAATTTTTGGTAGAGATGAGGTTTTGCTATGTTACCCAGGTTTGTCTGGAACTCAGTTCTCTTGCCCTGGCCTCTCAAAGCTCTGGAATTTCTGGTGTGGGCCTCTGCACCTGGTACAGAGTTATTTTGAAGGGTTTGGGTCTTAGGAATTATCTCAGGGGCTATACATGGCCTGGAATCTTAATAGAAAAGGTGCCTCCCAATTGGAAAGGCTCTAGGCCTTTCAGTTAAGTTGATAACTTAATTTCCTCCTAGAAAAGAAAATAGCCACTTCCATAAGCATAATTAGGTACAGGAGGGGGAAGTGGGCTCCAGGAGCCTGGTCTGAGGCCTTGGCCGTCTAGGCCCCGGGAACCAGAAGGCTGGCCACACAAGCTGTCCAGGTGTCCTTGGATACCTTCAGATGTGCTTGGCAGAGGCCAATTTCCATGCACTTGGTTCAAAATGCTCTCCCTTCCTCCTCTTCACCTGCCTTGCCCCAGGCAGCCCTCTTTCCCCAGGTTTCCACATCAGGGTTGGCCTTTGTGCTCCATCCAGCTCACCTGTCACTTGTCACCTGAAGCCCACAGTCCTTGCTCCCTTTGTGCACTCCAGGGCACTTACTAAATGGATATGGTCTCCTGAGGGTGTTTTTTTTTTTTTTTTTTTTTTTTTTTTGGTGTTCACTTTTTCATGGTCATTCAGTGTTTTATTTTGCTTTAATTGTATTTTATTTACATGGCTGTATCATACATTCCACACAGGTGGCTGGGTGCAGTGGCTCATACCTGTAATCCCAGCACTTTGAGAGGCTGAGGCAGGAGGATCGCTTCAGGCCAGGAGTTTGAGACCAGCCTGGGCAACATAGCCAGACCCTCCCATCTTAAAAAGAAAAAAAGAAAAAATTCCTTACAGGTGAGGGAGTTGTAATACACTCCTCCCTATTAGCTACTCATAGGCCAGTGCTCATTTGATCTTACTAAATTAGTTACCCAGAATGACAATGTCATCTTTATGAGAGTTCTGACAGTAGGCTGCTGGCCAGTAAGTGCATCTTAAATTATTTCCCCTCAAAAAATCATTTAACATTTTGAAAAGTCATATATGGCTATTGGAAAAAATATAAGACAGTAAAGTCTTAAAAGGAGGAAGTGAAAGTACCTCCCTTCGCGCTTTCCAAAATAACCTTTCCTTTCTAGGCTTTTGTTCTATGTATGTTCAAAGATACGCAGAATAGAACAGCATTCAACAAGTGGCCCTAAAAATATCTTAATCACAGATTGCACATAATTTACATGTCCCTTTTAGGGTTTCTCAATCTTGACACTGTTGATTGAGAATCATTTTGGTCCAAGTGATTCTTTGTTATGGGAAGGCCATCCTGTGCATCGTAGACGGTTTCGGAGCATCTCTGCCCTGTAGCTCCCGGTGGTGAGGATCAAAAATGCCTCTGGACATGGCCAGGTGCCCCATGGAGAGTAAAATCACATGGATAGCAGTCATGTCAACACCTAGTAGCCCTCAAGTGCTGACTGCATGCCATGTGTTATTCTACACCTTTCCCCTGTATTAACTTGCTCAGCCTCACAACCACCCTATACAATCTATATTAGTAATATTCACATTCACCAGTGAGGAAACTCAGACCCAAAGAACTTGACCCCTTGCCCGAGATCACCCTGCTCGTGAGTGATACAAACCTGCCCAGGCTGAGTCTGGAGCAGGTGTCAATGCTGTGCTCTTCTCCCTCCTCATTCTACCTCATTCTCCCTAAGAGCTGCACAATGGAACACTGAATAGATGTCACAATGTATTTCATCAGTTTTTTCTGATTTAAACTTGTTCAGATTTTACATTAGGCTACATAATACCACAGTGTATGCTGCAATGTATAAAGCTTTGCATGTATATTTTTGCACGCTATAGCATAAATTTCTAGAAGTCTAATTGTCTTAAAGTGAAACACATTTAAATTTTGGACAGGCACATCCAAACTGCCCTTCAAGGAATGATTTTTGAAAAATATTCTTTCTGTTCTATTCTTCCTAATGATTCTTTCGTCCACTGGCACAGGTGGGTCCTACCCTATTTACACTGAGGAGCTTTGGTGCTTTATCCAGACCACTTCTGGTTTTAAGAACCATTGAGAGCCTTCCTGAACTTTCACTTAACTTGGGTCCCTCACCAGTTAACTCAGTGCAAAGTACTGACCACATCTTAACATGCAGCCGGTGGCTGTTTCAGGTCTTCAGACTGACTTGGATGACACATTGTCAATGGTCTTCAAGGGACCCTGAGACTAGAGAAGACCCGAGAAGCAGGCCATTGGCCCTTTGTTTTCTGTGGTGCCCAATCTTCCATGAAATCTGAGGGCTCAGCAAAGGTGGAGAGGTAGGGTGGCCTCCTCTGCAGGCAGCCAGGCAAAGAGATAGGAGCTCTGGTGCAGGATTTGCATTAGAAATGAGTCCCATTGATCTGTAGGGCTGAGAGGCTGGGCTTGGAGCCTGGCTGTTTTCTGAGTTCTCAGCAACTGATCAGCTACATAGCTGGAGAGCCTTGGGCTGGGCTCCCACTCCTGTGAACTCTAAAACAGTGTCTGCCAAGTAGGCTCTCTTGAGTAAATACTTCCTTTTTTTTTCCCGCCCCCCAGGCTGACCCAGAATGAACTCAATGATGAAGTGGCAGAGAGTTTGGCAGAAATGTTGAAAGTCAACCAGACGTTAAAGCATTTATGGTAGGTAGCTCAGCCTTAGAATTTCACACTGTGCTACTTTTCCAAAGTATTTTTTGAGATAAGATTTACATACTGTAAAATTCACTCTCTTAAAGTGTACAATTCAGAGGTCTTTAGTGCAACCATCACCATCTAATTCTCGAGTGTTTTCACTACCCCTCCCCACTCCAGAAAGCCCCTGTGTATCCGTTAAACAGTCACTCCCTGTTCTCCTTCCCAGACCCTGGCAACTGCTAATCCACTTTCTGTCTCTATGGATTTGCCTACTCTGGACATTTCATATAAATGGAATCAAGCAATATGTGACCTTTGGTCTCTGTGTTCTAGCATGTTTCATTCCTTTCTATGGCCAAATGATAATTCACTCTAAGGCTATTTCACAGTTTATTAATCAGTCAATGGGACATTTGGATTATTTCTACTTTTTCACTATTATGCATAATGCTACTGTGAACACTTCTGTACATGCTTTTGGGTAAACATATGTTTTTATATCTTTTGGGAACATACCTGGGAATAGAATTACTGGATCATAAAGGAATTCTGTAATTTTCTGAGGAGCCATCAAACCGTTTTCTAAAGTGCACGTCCTATTTTACACTCTTACTGGCAACATATGTGGGTTACAGTTTCTTCACACCCTCACCAACGCTTGTTATTGTCCATCTTATTAAATCTAGTTATACCAGTGGTTGTGAAGTAATACTGTGGTTTTGATTTGCATTTCCCTGATAACTAACAATGTTGAGTGTATTTTTATGTGCCTACAGCCTGTCTATATAGCTTCTTTGGAGAAATGTCTCCATATCCTTTGCCCATTTTAAAACTGGGCTTATTTGTCTTTTTATTGCTAAGTTGTAGGGGTTCTCTATGGATCCTGGGTGCTAGACCTTTACTAGATACAGATTTTGCAAATATTTTATTGCTTTCTGTGGAGTTTTCCCTCTTTCTTGATAGTGGCCTTTGAAGGACAAAAGTTTTTTTTTATTTTTTCTTGAGATGAAGTCTTGCTTTTGTCACCCAGGCTGGAGTGCAATGGCATGATCTCAGCTCTCTGCAACCTCCACCTTCCAGGTTCAAGTGATTCTTCTGCCTCAGCCTCCTGAATAGTTGGGATTCAGGCATGAGCCACCACCCCTGACTCATTTTGTATTTTTAGTAGATACAGGGTTTTACCATGCAGACCAGGCTGATCTCAAACTCCTGACCCCAGGTGATCTGCCTGCCTTGGCCTCCCCAAGTGCTGGGATTACAGGCGTGAGCCACTGCACTTGGCCAGTAGTTTTTAATTTTGATGAAGTCCAGTTTATCTTTTTTTCCTTTGGTTGCTTGTGCTTTCAGTGTCTTAGCTAAGAAATAATTGCCTAATCCAAGATCACAAAGATCTCCACCTAAGTTTTCTGGTAAGTGTTATAGTTGTTTCCCCTCACATTTAGGTCTGCAATCCATTTCGAGTTAATTTTTGTATAAAGTGAGCGTTAACCGCGTTCTCTTGCCCGTGGCTATCCGGCTGTACCAGAGCATCATGTGTTGAACAGATTATCTTTTTCTATTGAATGGCCTTGACACCCTTGTCAAAAATCAATTGACCATTAATGTACGGGTTTATTTCTGAATTCTCTGTTCTTGTCCACTGATTTATATGTCTCTCCTCTGCCAGGACCATTGCTGGAGCTTTGTAGTATGTTTGGAAATCAGGAAGTGTGAGTTCTCCTACTTTGTTCTTTCTCAAGATTGTTTTGACCATTCTGGGTTCTTTGCATTTCTTATGAATTCAGACTTGCCCTGTCAGTTTCAGCAAAAAGACTAGACTGTGCTACATGTTGTTTTTATTTTGTGTTTTAGTCTGCAGAAATATTTTATCCCATTCCCTAAGTGCAAGCCAACCCCTTCCAGGGAGAGTAGAGCTCAGACGGGGCCAGAAAGAGAGTCTCAGCTGCTTTGTGCATTCCCAACCTGCACCAGCCTAATGAAGGCAGCCCTAGTGGGCGGATGTGCCTGGACACTG